GCTGAATTCTTTCTGCTTTAGGGCCAGTGTGATAACGTCCATAGAGAAGTGATAAGAAACAATGAAAGGCAAAATATTAGATGCTGCTGTACAGATTCTTGTAGCTATTTCATGCCATTTTGCTGTCATAGGGGGCTGAAAATAAGGCACAGCTACAAGAATGGTGTAGTGGTTTGAGTCACTAATAGCCTTTGTAGACTGCTAGAAATAGTGCAAATGTAGTCCACTTTAAGGGTTAGGGTTAGGGTTAGGGAATCATGGGGACTGTATTTTATTGTGGCACCAGAACTCTCTGACAGAGAAGGTTCAATGTCTCAGAAAAAAAAACAATTCCCATGATTCCCTAGCACTAACCCTAACCCTTAAAGTCAATTTGCACTATTTCTGGCAGTCTGCAAAGGCCCTAAGACTCTGGAGACCAGGGTTTGAATCCTGGCTAGGCAGTAAACCCACTCAGTGACCTTGGACAAGTCACACACTCTCAGCCTTAGAGAATGGCAATGGCATACCCCCTCTGAAGAAACATGCCAAGAAAACCCCATGATAGGTTTCGCCTTAGGGTCACCTTAAGTCTGAAATGACTTGAAGGCACATAAGAACAACAACAACAAACAGCCTTAAACATTAGTAGCTTCTGCCTCTCATTTTTAAAATCCCTTTATAATCACTTAAGGCACGATTCATTTTTTTTCCCTAACTGTCTTAGGCACATGTTTATTTATCAGCAGGGCTCACTGGAGATATTTTATTGCCTGAGGGAAAGAATAAGATAGTGCATCATCTCATTTCATGCAGAGAAGCTAACTGGACTGCTGAGTCTTATTTGGGCACACTGGGGATGAGAATGTACACCAGGCTAGCTTAAGGAATGCAGTGCAGGCAACATGGGCTATATAGCCTCCAAAACGTTTGGTGTAGCCACACTGCAGAAATAAAGCAGTTTGACACCACTTTAACTGCTGTCATTCTGTCCCCTGGAATCCTAGGATCCATAGTTTGGTGAGGCACTAGAGCTATTTGACAGGTCAGCCTGAATCCCTCACTGAACTACAAATCCCAGGATATTGTAGGGTTGTGGCTGCTGCCACACTACAGAATTAATGCACACTGCTTTATCTGCTGTGGCTCCATTCTATGGAATCCTGGAATTTGTAGATTCTTGTAGCACCAGAGCTCTCTAACAGTGAAGACTAAACATCTCACCAAACTACAAATCCTAGAATTCCATAGCATGGTGGGTTTTAACCATCACAGTAAAATGCTTAATTTTGGCTGGATTGTACCCATTACATTCAATATCTTCTGTGGTCCCCCCATTCATCAACTTGTATTAGAGATAGGCAGGCCATTTGACCGAAAAATTGATGAGGTATCCACACCCTGTACATCCATGTTACTAACATTCCTGCATATTCAAAACTGATTTTCACAGATAGTATAGATGTCTGACAGGCTCATGCCATTCTTTTATGTGTCTTTTAAAAGAAAAGGAGGGAGGAAGTAGAAGAAGAAGGAGAGAATTAATAAAGAAAGGCATCAAAGAAAGATAAAAGGATCTTAAGCAAGGCAGAGAAGTATCATTCATTTTATTTTTCCTAAATGTAATGGCAATTCCTCCATTTAATGAAGGTTGCCAACCCTTCAAAAGTGTCTCCTTTTGGGGCTTGTGCATTTACAGAGGGTTTATTTTCCACTAAAAGATGGAGGAGAAGCAGCAGCAGTAGCAGCATCAGCTGCTGCTGCCCTGGGATACTGCCAGGAGCTATAGCTTTCAAGACCTTTTTTACACACTGGCAATGAAATGGGGAGAATGTGCCCATGAAACAGATTTGGCTGCTGTGGCTTGTTGAACACACATTATCCTCCCCTCCCCAAGGCAGTGGCACTACAAAGGGCCAGAACAGGATGCTGGGTTGCCAAGAGCCTCTCAGCAAAACCCTCCTTAACTTGAAAGGATCATGTAGTAAATTTGAGACTAATGCAAAACAGTCTCATAGATGCTGTGAGATACCTTCCCATACTGATATTCCAGACTAAGATGGCTATGTCTTTGAATTCTGCCTTCTGTACTTGTCATTCCCTCACAGGTCCATAGCTTACTGATGTTACTTTTTTGGACTACATTTCCCAGAATCCTGATAGCCATGCTGGCTGGGAGGATTTGGGGAGTAACATTTCTGAGCTCTGTGAAAATCTACCAACTTCATCACCTGCATTTATATAGGCAGACTTTGTCTCCCTCTTTCATCTTACGGCACTTGGCTATCCTCATATCTGAAGTCCACTTGGTAAATTGGTCTGTATGACCACATTAACAGTCTTCTCCCAGTATGCCTTGGCAAACACCTGCCTTTTCATATCACATTTCATCATGCACAGCCCCCACAGTGGGTCATGTAAGGGCAGTGGTTAATCCAAAATATCTCAAGATCCACCCCATCCCACAGTGTAGCCTTGTGCCTACACAATTTACTAAGCAGGACTGAGGATCATAGAATCCTAGAGTTGGAGGAGATCCCAAGGGCCATCTAATTCAACCCTTGCCTTACAGGAGTACACAGTTCAAGGATTTCCAAAAGACCACACGCACATGGGGTGTGTGCAAGGGGTGTGGACCACATTGGGTGACACCCAGAAGAGGAGAGATACCCAGCTGTGCACTTGCTGGATGCTCTGTGTCCAAGCTTCCTCTCCAGGAAGAATGCCCAGGAATGGAGGACTATAGGGGTGAACGTGCACCAGGTGACACCATAGTTAGACACCCCCCCAAAAAAGCTTTCATTTGGAGAGGAAGGAACAATTCATGGTGATGCAATGATTGGCTCTTGGATATATTTAAAGCCTGCAGTCCTACATTCACTATCCTGAGTGTATGCCCTATTGAATGAAATGAAACTTACATCTGGGCAGACATGTATAGGACTGTGCTGTGCAGAGAAAACAAAATCCATGTATTTTGAAAACTTTTGTACCTGTTGTTGTTGTTGTGTGACTTCAAGTTGTTTCCAACTTATGGCATCCCTATGGCATGAGGGTTTCTTGGCAAGTTTGTTCAGAAGGGGCTTGCCATTGCCATCCTTTGAGGCTGAGAGAGTGTGACTTGTCCAAGGCTACCCACTGAGTTTACATGGCCGAGCTGGGATTCAAACCCCAGTCTCTGGAGTCATAATGCAACAATGAAACCACTACACCACACTGGACCAGTGCAAATCAAAACATAATGATGATGCTGAGACTTCATATGCTTCACTTCAAATACTTATACATATCCAATCTTAGTCAATTCTTACAAGAGCCTTGCAAAGTAGAAAGCAAGAACTATTCTCATCTCCATATTACAAATGCAATCTGAGATTACAAGTATCAGAAGCAAAATTTATACTCTCTGCCTATCTTGGCTCCTTAATAAAGGGAGTTGTACACTGTTGCATATATGATTAATGCACAGGACTTCTTAATGGTTCATAACAGCCACATCGTGTCTAGAACTACTGAGGGTTGTACAGGATCCTTTCACACTACAAAAGTATTATTCCACTTTAATTGTCATGGCTGCATCCTATAGAATCCTGGGATTTACAGTTTGGTGAGGCCTTTTCTTTGGCAGGGAATTCTAAAGACTGTTCTCTAAAATGCAGACTCCAGTTTTCCATAGAATGGAACCACAACAGTTAGTGGAATAATTCCACCTTAATTATGTAGTGTGAAAGGGCTGAAGGTAAGGATCAACAAATTACAACCATCACCCAGCCAGGGGCTATGCAGGCTGGGGAATCCTGGGAACTGTAATCCAAAGAAGTAACTTCCAAGATCTGCCCCTCCCTGCTTGTTCCTCTCTGCCCTTTCCTAAATGGCACCCAGGCTCCAGTAAGCTTGACCTTTTTAGGGGGCACTGCAGATGATATCTCAATAGAAGTTGAGTCTCCCTTATCTGAAATACCTGAGACCAGAAGCGTTTTGGACTTTGAAATATTCGCATATACTTAACGCGATATCTTGGAGATGGGCCTCAAGTCTAAACACAACGTTCATTTATATTTCATATACACCTTATAGACATGGCTTGACGGTAATTTTATACATACCGTAATATTTTTTATAATTTTGTGGATGAAACAAAGTTTGTGTACATTGAACCATCAGAAAACAAAGGTGTCTCTCTCTCAGCCACCCATGAAAAAGTTTTGGATTCTGGAGTAGTTTGGATTTTAGAATTCTGGGTAAGGGAGACTCAGCCTGTACTCTGTAAAGGCAGGCATTCAGAAAAGACTGGAGCAAGGATGACACACAGTCAAAGTTACTCTCTCTGTTCATCTGGCTATCTGGGTAAAGTCCCTCAGGTAGTACAGAGGGGCTTGCCATCATGCAAGTAGTGGTGAGCTATTTCTTAGCCACAGGAAATGAATGCATTGTGTGTGGATGAGAACAAACCTGTGCATTTATTTTAAAATTTTCTGTAGTCCAAGATGTTGCAAATCCTGTTTAAGGTCCTGGAATAGTTTCTCGCAGCGCAGCCATTCTCGAAATATTCATTCACTTCTGTATCCAGCCGGGTAGTTCAGATCAGCAAGGCAGGGTATGTACTGCCAGTAGCTACGTTTCTCACCTCTCAACATGGAACAGCAAGGATTTCCTCAGATGAGTGCTTGCGCCTTTGGAGTTTGCTCTCTTGGCTGCTGGCCAGTCCTTCTGTCAAGTGACCTTAAAACACACGCCATACAAGCCTCACTCATTTAATTTAGCATCCGATTAACTTTTTCTGGTTTTGAATTAATCACTGGGATGCTACCACATTGCTGCAGAAATGTATAGCTCATACCTTCCTGTTGTACCAGTTTAAGTAGTCCTGTAGCAGTTTTCTCCCCGTGGCCCTCAGGGCTTGTCTGGATGATCAGTCAAAACACGGCCAACAGTGTTTTGCGAGATAGTCTGGCAAACCCTTTCAACCCTTTTCTACAGCTGACCTAAACTCTCAGGACCAAACGCAGAGCTGGGAGTTCTGGCTGGTGATTTTCAGTTGCAAAAATGAAACTGGGGAGATAATGGTGGAAACATAAGGGGGAAATGGCCAGTGGATAGATTAAAGTGCTTAAATAGCCCCAGTTCTCCGTCATTCCACGGAACATGCCACTGTCCCTCCTGAACTTGGTCCAGCAAATTGTCTCTGGAAAACCTAGTGGGCAGGAGAGGGATAGCATGTGCTGAAGGATTTGTCCCCTGTCTGAAGTTTTAGGTTGGTCCTTAGCTCAGGACTGTTTTGTTTGTTTCGTTCCTGACTTATGGCAACCCTGAAGTGAACCCATCATGGGGTTTTCTTGGCAAGATTTGTTCAGAGGAGGTTTGCATTGCCTTCCCCTGAGGCTGAGAGAGTGTGACTTGCCCAAGGTCACCCATGTTTCGATGGGATCTCTTTTCCTGTAGTTTTAATTTGTTGCTCCACTTCCTCTGGAGTAGCAGAAAACAATATAATCAATATGACATCACTTCAAATATTTAAACATGGCTATCTAGTCACCTCTTAACCTTCTCTTCTCCAGGCTAAACATACCCAGCTCCCTAAGCCACTCCTCATAGGGCATGGCTTCCAGTCCTTACACCATTTTGGCCATCCTACTCCAGACACGCTCTAGCTTGTCAATATCCTTCTTGAATCGTGGAGTCCAGAGCCATAGTATTCCAGATGAGGTCTGACAAAAGCAGAATAGAGTGGCACTATTACAGTACTTCCCTCAGTTTCAACTCTGTACTCCTATTGATGAAGGCTAGAATCATATTGGCTTTTTTTTTTAGCTGGTTGGGAGAGCTCACATTATGGTATGTATTTGTAAAATATTAATTGATTTATATATCAAAATATTTTAAATCTTGTTCTGTATCCAAGGATTGGACTCCATTTTCCATAATCCCTGAGTGTTTACTATACTGGTGGAAACTACAGTCTAACAACCATGGAAGGACCATAAATTGCTCTTCCCTGGTTAACCAGAAGAGTGTCCAGATGTGCATTAGGCTTTCAGTTTGCCGGCTCCCCTACATAGTAATGTAAGAACACCCCTTGCTAAATAGGAACATGGTGACACTGCTTGATTTTATTTCCCGCAGACTTAAGTCCACTTATGAAAATGTAAACCCCCAAGTGAATTCCTGCTGAAATAAAAAAA